TACTTTTGTCCGTCGGTAGCTCGTGAACCGGCGAGGGCTGCTTCCACATGGTTGAGCCAGTCCTCGACGTTGTGGTTGAAAATCGGCAGAGAGATCCGTCCGTCCTCCATCCTGTGTGAGTGCTTATCTCCGGGAGTCACCATTGTAGGGGTATCGAGATATTAATGTTGTCTAGCACTCAGGATGGAAGGAAACTCTAATGTGGTTTTCTTATATAATATATATAAGTTATATGATAGACAGTCTGGTGCTGGAGATGCCGTGTGGTGGGGAGCAGCTCAGTAGAAGACGTTCGGGAGTATCGTGTTGAAGGAGGTAGATGTGCAGGAGCTTCGTTAGAGAAGGTGTTGCCTGTTGCTGGCCTCCTGGTTGAATGAAATGTTAACAGCGTGGAGCTTGCTGGAGGAGATGTTGCTTGTTCAGGAAAATGGGCAGAATGAATCTCAATGGAGAGACAGAGCTTATATACACCCGGCAGCAGCCGCCAGTCCTCTATGAGTCATGTTGGGAAAACCCGAGAAGTAGCCGGTGACTAGTTTCGTTGCTAAGATACGGTAACATCTGGGGACAGCTCTCGCTTGGTTGCTAGGGGAGGCGACACATTGGAATGCGGATACGCTTGGTGGTGGGCTGCTACGCAGTTGTAGGGGAGAATTCCACTACAACAGACTGTTCGACACAGAACTGACCCACATTGTGTTTACAGAAGAGGTTATAAGAAATAAACTGTCAAAGCTAAAGGTCCATAAGAGTCCTGGGCCTGACACGGTGCATCCTAGAGTGCGAAGAGAGTTGTGCAACGAGCTTGCCGAGCCCCTGAAGATCCTGTTTTGTAAATGCCTGGCTGAACAAAAGGTCCCCAATGATTGGAAAATGGTTTATGTGAGTCCTATCTTCAAGAAGGGCGAGCGTCACTCCACGAACAACTATAGACCGGTGAGCCTGACCAGCATAGTATGTAAAGTACTTGAGAGCATTATAAGAGATGCCACTATGGAACATCTACTACGAAACACGGTTTTATGCCGGGGTGCTCCTGCTTAACACAATTACTCAAGGTATTGAATATTTGGACCCATATTCTGCAACAGGGTGGTATTATCGACAATATATACCTAGATTTTACCAAGGCTTTCGACAGCGTACCCACGAAAGGCCGAAAATTAAACTGGAAGGGTACGGGATTCGGGGAAATGTCTTAGCGTGGATAGAAGACTTTCTGCATGACCGCAAGCACTGTGTGATGATTAATGGCACGAAATCACCAAGTTTACCCGTCACAAGCGGAGTACCACAGGGCAGTGTATTGTTTGTTTGCTTCATAAAGGACATGCTTGAAGCTGTACAATCTTCCATAAAAATGTTTGCCGATGAGGCCAAGTTATTTCGGGAAATTAAGAACCAAGCAGACTGTGAAGAGCTGCAGAAGGATTTCTGTGAGCTCCAAGAATAGTCGAAGATATGACTGCTAAGGAGGGGTAACATATGTCCCAACGGGACGAAGAAGCTGCATTAATTGAGACAAAGTGAAAAGGACCTCGGCGTGTATGTTTACAATGAGCTGAAGTTCTCGGGCCATTGAGAACAGAAGGTAAATCAGGCAACAAAATTATTAGGTCTTTTGCGAAGGTCGTTCAGATATCAAGACGTTCAGTTCTTCGTAGCGATCTTCAAGAGTGAAATGCTTCCCCATCTGGAGTACTGTCACCCCGTCCACGAGATATGCTAGGGACTGTCAGTTGATTGAAAATGTCCAAAGGAGGGCCACTAGACTGGTGCCTGCACTAGGGCACCTCAGCTACCCTGAGAGATTGGAACGTCTGAACTTGCCAAGCTTATACAGTGTACTATAGACGGGTAAGGGGAGACCCAATTGAGGTGTATAAGCATATCGAAGGGCACTATTCGGTCTAGTTTCCTTATCTGGAGCTGGCGGACGCTCGCCCCACATGGGGTCACAGCTCAGGGTTGAAGAAGCCGCAAGCCCAGAAAACTGTGAGGGGTAACATTTTCGGAGTGAGAGTTGTGAACTCTTGCAACAATCTGCCAGAGAGTGTTGTGACGGGACAAACTGTGAGCTCTTTCAAGACCTGACTTGACCAACACTGGGGCAGGTTCAAATACATTCAGGAGCCAGTGCATGCCCAGTACTTGCCAACAGTGCGTAACAGAGACGTGACCGACCGCCCAAGCGGCTATCGAGCAGTGGTGAAGAGGATTAAAGTAAAAAGTGAAAAGTTAATTTGTATAGTTTGGAATATACTGGGTAATATATATAGTTTAGAATATACTGGGTAATATATATAGTTTGGAATATACTGGGTAATTTGTATAGTTTGGAAGATACTGGGTAATTTGTATAGTTTCTAAATAATATTACCCTTCAACCGTACAGATTCATACCATAAACAGTTTTGGCGTGGTGGTGTGTTGGTTCAGTGGGACGGTACTCGATGTTGATGATGGAGGCCTCGGGTACAACTCCTTGACTGTCTCTTAGGAGACATTGAGCAGGTCGAGGCACAGAGGCAGAATTCTCAAAGGTTCGTAAGTGAAATTTGTTTTTATCTGAAGTATCTGTGTTGGGTGGCGATGATGACCTAGCAAATGTTTCGTAGGGTAGATGTATATTAAGTATTTATTGTTGCACTTTGTTTATTTTAGATTAATGGGTAAAATTGAGGGTAGGGGGGGGGCAGGGGAAGACAGAGACTGGGGTGGATGAATCATTTTAACAGTTGTCGTCCCCGGAGAGATACAGCATCTAGAAGATTGATAAACACAGCCCAAAAACATTTAGAGTAAAGGGTCGTGGGTGCCAACCCTCAGACATGATGGTACTTTCATTATATTATGCTAGTGTCTGTTCGTCCGTCTGGTTTTCTGCAGAATTTACCTTATCCGAAACACAAAACGCGGGTGTCTCGTTTAGACAATAATTGTTATATAACTTCACAATCTGTTAAGATATTACAGTGATTGAAGAAGCCACACTTTCAGAAAACTTTCATGACAAACTTGTTTTGAGTGAGAGTTGTGAACTGGCGCAGGTACAGATACAGTCTGGAACCAGTACATACCTATAGTATTTGCCAACAGTGAGTAACCGTGAGTCATGACCAAGCGCCCAAGTGGCTAACAGGCTGATCAGTGGCGAAGAGAATAAAGTAAAGTAAATAAAGCTGTGTGGATTCAGGTCAGCAAACACTTTTGGAGGTTCTGCATTACTGTTTAAAATACTGCGTTAACATTAAAAATATTCAATTAGTGGTGAGCTCACGCAAATGTATTTGTGTAAACGGAGTACATCCTGTTTGTCAGTGTCGGGGAAATCCGTGATTACATTCCCGACACAGTTGTAATGGTCACATCAATTGTCAGTGTAACAAATCGAGGTTTAACTCTCTATCAAATTCTTACTAAATATTGTTCGAAAAATTACTGTTATAATGTTAATATTAGTGTTTCCCTTAATGTTAAGCTCTATTAAATTCCCGTTAAGTATAAGACGAAAACGTAAAGTGAATTGTGATCAAGTTGTGGTGGTCGACGATAGATGGCGCTTTATTGAAGAAAAACAATCCTCCCCACCGTCCTTAGTCTCACACACAAGTAAACAATTAAAACTAAACATCCACCAGTGAGTTAAACACGGATAGAGAGAGGGCAAGAAAGAAAGGGGGATAGAAGGAGATAGAGGAAAATTAAGAGAGCAAAGATAGAGAGAGTATTGGCCTTACACACACACACTAGTCTACTAGAGTGAATGAATGCACAGAATGAGATAAAGAAGATGAATAGAGAAGAAAAGCATAAGATAAGATAACAGGATGACCACAGGGGATGAAGACCGGAAATTGATACACACACAGACACTCACGATAAGCCACTGAAAAAGAACAACATAAACATCCGCAGGTCAGCAGGAGTCACTGAATGTCTACTTGAGTCAACTGATATTAAATTCTCCACTACAGTTAACTTAAGTCACGAAAGATCAAGAACAATATTGTTAAAAGAGGTAATGGATCACCTGAAGAATCATCACCCCAGCTTATTTCACCTAACGATTAAACCACCCTAACCTAACTTAACCTAACCTAAACCTATTCTATCCTAACCTAAATCTAACCTAACATGTCCTAACCTAACCTCATCCTCTCACAATAGTTTTAGGGTGGTTTAATCGTTAGGTGAAATAAGCTGGGGCGATGATTCTTCAGGTGATCCGAAAATAGTTCTCCATAATAAAAAAAAAGAAAAAGAGAAATAAAATAGAGTAACGCCGTGACTCGATCTCGGTCCTCTAAAATAGCAAACAGAAAGCTTATCCACTGGACCGCAGTTCGGCCATAAATTTGACGTTTTTACGATATTTGAACGTATAATCATGTTCGAAGCTTCAAATGCTTCAATGAAGCTTCGTGACGTCACTCTCAACCTTCATATATAAAGTCTCGACGAACTCGTTTTCGGCCCATTCTTCACTCACTAGCTGCAGCTGACAGGGAGGTAAGACGCCCCACACCCCGCACCTCTAGTCTCCATTATATACGTGTAATTTTTTTCCGACTGTCTACAGTCAATATGGCCAAGAGAAATGGTTATTCTTTTGGTTAGTGTTTATATGTACTTAATTATGGCGTAATAAATGCTGATTTAAGTAACAAACTTACCAGCCGGTTGTTGCAGTTCACTTGGCTTCAAGAGACGTATCCCCAAGTTTCACTGGGCCGTAAGGCCTATGATACCTACTTTGCAGCTTAAACAAATACATTAATATGGGTTAGTATTATATTAAGTGTTTCTCTAACGTCTAACCAGTAATTTATTAACGTTTTAAAACTTTTAGGCAAATATACCGCCAAATGAGCCATAACAACCGAGCCGAAACTATAAACCGGTGGCGAGTAACAAGCGTAAACCGCACATCAGTATTTGCGTTATAATTAACCAGTAAGTGAGTGCAATGACGAGATTGGGTGAAATTATTGTATTTATTTTTTTAATTTCACATTTTCCCTCTTGCTTCGAAGCCCAGCCCACTTTTGGCGGAGCCGGGTGGTCATAACTCAATAGTTACGCATTTCATCTTACGTTCATCACCAAAATATAACTGTTTTGTGGAATTACGATACAATATTTTTCACTGGCTAGTTCTGTGCTTCCTCTTTAACTAGGATTTCTGGGAGTTGAAACCGAATTTATTACGGGTTTTAGCCGGGCGAAGCGAGGCATGCTAGGCGAGGCAGGCAAGAAGCCAGACAGGAAGCGAAGCGAGGCGAGTTGAGGTAGGGAGCCGGGCGAGGCAAGGGAGCCGGCGGAGGGCGAGGTTGAGGGGTTTCAGAATATTTGTACAGTGTATATTAAATTTTTAAAAGTGGACAACCATGGATTTTAGCATCGGAAAAACACATTGGTCAACAACCAAAAAGCACCAAAACTAAACTAACGTAACGTAGCCTAACAACGTAACATAGCCTAACCTGGAGGTTCGTTGGTTGTCTGCTTGTAAAAAAAAATACCGGGTTCCTAAAATAAATGTTAAGATGTATATAAAGACACCGTTAAAATGTATTGGTAAATAAGGCCGTAACCATCTAATTAACCTCTGGAAAATGTTAAAATGTTTGGCTCGCCTGAAGATTCATCCCCCAGCTTATTTCAACTGAAGATCAATTTAACCTAAGCCAATCTACGTATTACAATGTGTTGGCGAATCTTTCTTTTTCAGATCATGGAATGACTGCAGATTCAACTACAGTACAAAACCCTCTGTTATTGGTGTGGTGCAGTATGTGGTCAGTGTGGTGCAGTATGAGGACACAAGTGAAGTGTGGAGCAGTATGTGGGGACAACAGACCACGAGTGAAGCTTCTCACAATACACAACGGTGTTCCTTCAGGTCAATTTTAACGTTTTGTGTGAAGGTGTGGGTGTGCGTAGCTTGCTATGGTATCATTTAATGTTTGGTGAGGGGTTGTGGGTGGATGTTGCTTCCTGTGGTGTCGTTTAATGTTTTGTGAGGGTGTAGCTGGGTGTGGCTTGTTGTGGGGTCGTATAACGTTTTGAGAGTGAAGGTGGGTTGGGCTTGTGGTGGGGTTATTTAACGTTTTGCGAGAGGGTGTGGGGTGTTGACACTTAAGGGGGCATGAGGGAGGGAAGGTCTAGTCAGCTGTAATAAACCTTGTGTATAGTGCATGAAGCAGTGTAGTACAGTACAGTATAGTATAGTGTAGTCGTACTGTATTGGTAAACTAATGTGGAGGTAATGATTTATGTAAACAGTTGGGGACAGTTTAAGTACATGTGATCTAGTTGCAAGTTTAATTTTCATTGTACGTAAATTACAACTTTAAACACGTTGCAGGTAACAGCTGATGTACGTGAAGGCCAATGGAGAAGTGACAGAACCTCGAGCAAGATTTAACTACCAGCATGTTACTTCAGCCTCATCAGTTAAGTTACTTGTACAGTATATCTTAGCTAGTATCTTTATCCAATAAACCACTCGACACTGCTCCTACACTGGGCAGTGGAGGGTGTGTGGGGGGTGGGGGTGCCTTGCTGACTGTTTGAGGCCTAATAGGTCTGTGTGTAGACCTAGTGATCAGTGTGTGGGGCCTGGCGGACACTCTTGGAGGACTGTGTTGGAGGGCTATGGAGGACGATCTGTAGACAGACTGATATTAGAGTAAAATTAATATTAGTTGTAGTGACAGTAGAAATATACAGAACTGTATGCCTATTGATTATTAGTGAAAATTAGTAGCAGTAGTAAACATAGTAAGTTAAACAAGTTGTTGTGGGTGGGTTTCAACTAACTTTACTAACCATAACCTAACCTAAGATAAACTATTCCAAGACATAAATTCAGTATTTTTTTGTCACTTACGTTAACTGATCATGAATTCATAAGTTAATTTTGAAAGAAGTTAAATTTGACTTTTGTAAATAATTAATTTTTGAAAAATTATGTACATTTGACGACAGTTTAACTACATGTTGTTTAGTGGTAGATGGATATTGTATGTTTAACATTCATTCTACATAAATGCCAACTTTAAACATGTTGCAGGTGACAGCTGATGTATGTGAAGGCCAATGGAGAAGTGACAGAACCTTGAGCAACATTTAACACCCAGCATGTTACTTCAGCCTCATCAGTTAAGTTACTTATATATATCTTGGCTATTATGGTCATCCCATAAACTACTCAACACCGTGCTTCTACACTCGGCAGTGGAGGGTGTGTGGGGGGCCTGGCTGACTGTGTGATGGAGGGTTCTGGAGGACTGTGTGATGGAGGGTTCTGGAGGACTGTGTGTGATGGAGGGCTCTGGAGGACTGTGATGGAGGGCTCTGGAGGACTGTGTGTGAAGGAGGGCTCGTGAGTACTGAGTGGACAGATTGGTCTTCGAGTAAAATTAATATTAGTTGTAGTGACAGTATAAATATACAGGACTACATGCCTATTGGTTATTAGAGAAAATTAGTAGTAGTAGTGGTAGTAGTAGTAAATACAGCAAGTAAAGCAAGTTGTTGTGGGTGGGTTTCAACTAACTTTACTAACCTAACTTAACCAGCCTAAGTTAATTAAACGTAATAACGTAGACTGAACCAAATCCGTAATAAGGTCACCGCGACCCGTAGCTGGGGACGTCAAAGGCTCGGTCGGATTGGTACACCGTCAATGACTCAGCTCATCTTGGAGGGAGGGGGGGGGGGTGGCGAGCTACCTCCCGTGTCCTGGCTGAACTGCGAGAGGGGCAACCACTGGTGTCCTGCCTCCCTGCGAGATGGTCGTTGATCTACCCGACCCGTCTTGGGACAACAACCACGGAGTCTAGCATGTGTAGGAGTCGATGGGGTCACTGAGCCCGAAGGCGAGATGAAGGTAACGGGCGCCTGGTGCGTCTTGGGCAGATCCTCAACTGGCTGCCTCTGGCCGTGCACGTGTGGCGTTTGCGTGGTTGAGACCCTTTCCCCCCACTGGGAAAAGGGCCTTCCCCCGCGCATTACCACGTGAGTGCACATGTCGCCGCGCTTCTCTGGGCGCACACGTCGCCACCTCAGCTTGTTTGCAGCTGGGTGGGTGGAGCGGCCCAAAAAGCTCCCATCTCGCCTCCCCATTTTCCCTTCCTTCATATCTTTGAGTTATATATAAAAATAAGTGTGTTTATGTCTACTTAAATAAATTATATACAATATGCCTATATGCCTATCGATTGATTTTTATCCTAAGAGTTATCTGATAAAAATGTGAATTTATTAGGAAGGTACTGGTATGGAGGGTAGGACATGGAACACTATGAATTAGTGCTTTATTTGTAGTAATAATTATATAAACAAAATGACAACTCCTAATTTATGGTTAAGTGAAAAAAAATTGTAGCTCAGTCATATTTAATATTTGGTTAGGTAGGTTAAGTTAAAGTTAGGGTAGGTGAGGTTAGGTGAGGCTAGGCTAGGCTAGGCTAGGTTATTTCCATGTTTTGTGCCAGTTATTCACTGGCAATGGGGGGGGCAATTGTACATGAACCAAGCTGTGCAGCTTTTTACAACCATGACGTGCACCAAGTCTGGGGCTGGTGCCCCCACACACTTGGCAAGCTCAAATATTCTGCAAGATAAGTTTTAAAAAGGTTTATGTTCAGTTTCTGAAGGGTCACCTCAAAAGACTTGTCAGAAGCATACCAGTCTATATATATATATATATATATATATATATAGAAGGTATGACTGTAGCCTTGTGACTAGCCTACAGTATTTTAGGCCTACTTCAAAATGTTTTTTTCTGTGTTTTCGATCAACTGATGTAAGTGCACAACAGCATCGTAAAGTATAACCATGTTTTCGTACTCCATTTTTATGGCAAATTTACATTTTTTAAACTATATACACTCTTTGAATATTACTGTATTGTAAAATCCTACAAAACCCGTCATACATTTCTTTTGTGATGCATATATGTACAGTAAATGATATTAGTCTGTTCTGCATCCCCTTTGGCCATAGGCATTGGTGATGAAAGCATAAAAGCCAATGCTGCTGCTATTGTTATACAGCATTAATTTCTTCTGTTTCTTTCAGAACTATAAAAACAGATATAGTAGACCGAAAGCTTAAAAAGACAGGTGGTGGTCCACGAGAAAAAAAAATTATCAAAAGCTTCAGAAGAAATTGCCTTAACAGCATCACTGATGAGGGCCGAGTTAGCAGTGGCTGGTGATTTTTACGAGACCTTCCGCAGTCACCCAGTAGATGAAGAAATAATTCCCTATAGAATGTGCAGATAGGTGAGAATATTTATTGATTTATACAGTTGTATGCATTCTCATTGATACCATTGCTCAATCTCCTTTGGCTGTGTAAAAGTCAAACGGCAGCAGTGACCTACCTTATACTGACTTTTTGCAGTTTTGCCTGTTCCAACCCCAGGGCCATCAACTGTGCTCACCAGTCATTGTTCCTGCCTCGACAGTGAATGCTCCTACCTCACCAGTGAATGCTCCTGCCTCGCCAGTCATTGTTGCTTCACCAGTCATTGTTCCTGCCTCACCAGTCCTTGCTCCTGCCTCACCAACACTGGAGCAGGTTCAGGTACATTCAGGAGCCTGGGCATGCGTAACAGACGTGACCAATCGTCCAAGCGGCTAACAAGCCAATCAGTGGTGAATAGGATAAAAGTATATACATGCTGTTAGAAATTTATTTTCTTACATTTTACAATTAAATAATTTGATTTAAAGTAAATAAATCTACATTAATTTATTTTGTCCAAAAATTTCTTAAGTTAAAAAAGCCGTCGGAAGTATAGCGGCTAATATTTTGCTCACAAGTTGCCGCGCTTTTCTGGGCGCACACGTCGCCGCGCTTCTCTGGACGCACACGTCGCCGCGCTTCTCTGGGCGCACACGTCGCCGCGCTTCTCTGGGCGCGCACGTCGCCACCTCAGCTTGTATGCGGCTGTGTGGGTGGAGCGACCCAAAAATGTTTGGGCGCGCCCCCACACATGCCGTCGTCCAACGGGCGTGTTTCGCCTTGTAGTAGGTGACCGCGACCAGTAGCTGGGGACGTCGAAGGTTCGGTCGGATTGGCACCCCACTACCGACTCTCTCAGCTCGTCTGAGTGGGGGGGAGGGGGGAGTTCCGCACGACTGGGGGCAACCGCCGGTATCCTGGCTGTCCTACGACAGTCGTAGAGAAGAGCGCCGCCTCCACCTCGACTGTGGCGGTTCGCTCTCGCGATGTGCAGAGGGTCGGTGATCCACCCGACCCACCTCGGAACACGGACCACGGAGTCTAGCGTGTGTGGGAGTCGATGGGCTCACTGAGCCTGAAGGCGAGATGAGGGCAACGGACGCCTGGTGCGTCCTGGGCAGATCCTCAACCGGCTGCCTCTGGCCACGCCCGCGCGGCGTTTGCCGGGTTGAGACCCCCAGGGTCTCAACCCGGCGTATTGCCGCGCGAGCGCGGTCGGGGTGGTTGGTTGGGGGTCTGCCCAGGACGCACCAGGCGCCTGTTGCCTTCATCTCGCCTTCAGGCTCAGTGAGCCCATCGACTCCCACACACGCTAGACTCCGTGGTCCGTGTTCCGAGGTGGGTCGGGTGGATCACCGACCCTCTGCACATCGCGAGAGCGAACCCCCACAGTCGAGCTGGAGGCGGCGCTCTTCTCTACGACTGTCATAGGACAGCCAGGATACTGGCGGTTGCCCCCTGTCGTGCGGAACTCCCCCCTCCCCCCCACTCAGACGAGCTGAGAGAGTCGGCAGTGGGGTGCCAATCCGACCGAACCTTCGACGTCCCCGGCTACGGGTCGCGGTGACCTACTATGAGGTGAAATACTCCTGATTAGTCCATGAGAAATCAAAGCCTCACACGCTTTGGTCTCTCGGCGCACACGTCGCCACGCTTCTCTGTGCGCGCACGTCGCCACGCTTCTCTGGGCGCGCACGTCGCCACGCTTCTCTGGGCGCGCACGTCGCCACGCTTCTCTGGGCGCGCACGTCGCCACGCTTCTCTGGGCGCGCACGTCGCCACGCTTCTCTGGGCGAACACGTTCCAGCAGTTTTTCTCTGGGCGTGCACGTAGCCATTACAGTTTCCGTCACAGCATATGCTGCAGCCTTCAATGCAGTGGCCCATCGTGTCTTGACCGAGATTTATTCCACCAGTCAATGCGATAACAGCTCGTGGTTCAACATGACCGGGGTGCATGTCTCATTCTAGTACTCGAGCAAACTAAGAATAGTTCTTGCCACAAACTCGAAGCAAACAGGGTGATCCATTCTATCCTCACCTAACAATTGATGATAGTGGGTCCCACCCGCTTGAGCCCATGTCCCCACAAATGATAAAGGTTGAGCTAGTCTTGGGGCACCTGCGTTAACATTTGATAGATATACTGCCCCACTCAAACTTCACGCCAAATAATGAGCGGCATGCCGACTCGTCGGCGCACGCTTCTCTGGGCGCACACGTCGCCACCTCGGTTGGGTGGGTGGAGCGGCCCAAAAATGTTTGGGCGCGCCCCCACACACACGCCGTCGTCCAACGGGCGTGTTTCGCCTCGTAGTAGGTGACCTTGACCAAGCATCCGTTACCCAGCGCATAGCAGGTCTACTAGCAACACAATAAATGCAGAAAAGAGAGGCCTGGGGTGAAATTGCCGCCTCATTCAACGCCAGCAACTCTGACCAACTCCCTCGCACAGCCAAGCAGCTCAAGAGGAGCTACGGACACTTAAAAAGGAAGTAGAGTATATGCTTATTAATGTACGGTGTTTTTCCATTAGGTTACTAAATTAAGTAGGATTAGAGTATTTAAGAGTTATCTGATAAAAATGTGAATTCATAGGGAAGGTACTGGTATGGAGGGTATAACAGTAAATAGGTGCCTCTGCCATACTTTTAGGTTCTCTTGTTTGAAATCTGTAATGCCAATTTTTACAAGCTATATGGTTTCAGAACAATTACCCCCCTCCCCCCCCATAGGACAACTGCCCTCTGGACAGTTACGCCCCCCTTTCCTTGCCAGTGAATAACTGACACAATCATGGAACACTAAGATATAGTGCTATATTTTCATGTTTTTTTTTTGTAATAATTATACAGTATACACAAAATGACGACTCATAATTTATGGTCAAGTGAAAAAAAATTGTAGATCGGTCATATTTAACATTTTGTTAGGTAAGGCTAGGCTAGGCTAGGCTATTTCAAGTTAAGTTAGGTTATTTCCATGTTTTGTGCCAGTTACTTACTGGCAATTGTCCTAGACCCAAGCTATGTAGCATATTAATATATATAGCAACATTTTACGACCACGACGTGCACCAAGAAAAATGTGCAAGTCTGGGGCTGGTTCCCCCACACACCTGGCAAGCCCAAATATTCTGGCAAGACAAGTTTCAAACAGGTCTGTTCAATTTTTGAAGGGTCACCTCAAAAGACTTCTCAGAAGCATACAAATCCTCATATCTATATATATTATCATATAATAATTTTTTTGCAGATATGACTGTAGCCTACAGTATTTAAGGCCTACTTCAAAAAATGTTTTGTTTGTTTTCGATCTACTGATGTAAGTGCACAACAGCATCGTAAAGTATAACCATGTTTCTGTACTCAATTTTTAATGGCAAATTTACATTTTTTTAAAACTGTCTACAGGCCCTTTAAATATTGCTGTATTGTAAAATCCTACAAAACCGTCATATATTTCTTTTGTGATGCATATATGTACAGTAAATGATATTAGTCTGTTCTGCATCCCCTTTGCTCATAGGCATTGGTGATGAAAGCATTATAAAAGCCAATGCTGTTGCTATTGCTATACAGCATTAATTTCTTCTTTCTTTCAGAAATATAAAAACAGATATAAAAGACCAAAAACTTGAGGGCCGAGTTAGCAGTGGCTGATGATTTTTACGAGACTTTCCGCAATCACCCAGTAGATGAAGAAATAATTCCTTGTGGAATGTGCAGGTAGGTGAGAATATTTATTGATTTATACAGTTGTATGCACTCCCATTGATACCATTGCTCAATCTCCTTTGGATGTCTAAAAATCAAACGGCAGCAGTGACCTACCTTATACTGACTGTTTGCAGTTTTCCCTGTTCCAACCCTAGGGCCATCAACTATGCCTCACCAGTCATTGTTCCTGCCTCACCAGTGAATGCTCCTGCCTCACCAGTCATTGTTTCTGCCAGGGCCGGCGCCAGCCTATTTGGCGCCCTTAGCAGGACTGCAGCTGGCGTCCCCACCCGCCTCCCACTTAACGATTGGGTTTGCCCACAAAGTAATCCAGGTACCATATTGAAGAAACTGTTTACCTTACACTGATCTATTTTAATTTGCTAATACATACATTAATTAGCAAATACTCTTAAGCACAATGCAATAATGGCATGAAAAGTGACTGTAAAGAAACACTCAAAATCAAACTACTATTGTATTTAAACATTAAGCAATTCAATTAACATGTCATGACATTCTGGGTTCCGCCGTTTTCTCGTTTTCGCTACGTGCCTGCTTATAACCGTTAACTTGATTCCTGGAAGCGAATTCGTCGATTACATCGTCATACGATAACTAGAGAGTCTAGACACTGCAATGTTCACACTGATGATGGCCAACTCATTAAGATGTTCCTGCGCCATTGTGGATCGCAAATAAGTTTTTATCAGTTTTAACTTGGAAAAGCTCCGCTCTGCTGCCGACACCGTTACAGGGAGAGTTGCACAGATCCGCAGAGCTACCCACAAGTTCGGGAATACTTCAGTAAGTTTCTTTTCATGCAGGAAGGTGAGAAAATCCATTGTCATTCTCTTGGAAGGCAAATCTGGGAGACACTGCAGCTCCATGGCCAGTTCCCTTCCATCAATGTCTGAGTTTCCCCCATGAGTAAGCGTGTTGCTGAGGATTTGGCAGTGATCGACAATATCTTTGTCAGACATGTCGGTGAACCCCAACAATACCTTGAACTTTTCATTCACCTCGCCCAAGGTCTTGAACCTCTCATTAAGAGAGGAAATCACAGTATCCACTACCACATTGAAAAATGTAGTCTCCATCCTCTTGAGTACATCGCTGACAGGTTTGTCTGCACACTCATAGCTAAAGTGACATTTTTTAGTTCTTAGTCTCTTCTGTTTCAGCACCGTGTCTACGCTCATCGCTTCACAGATTTCTTTAGCAATAGTTAGTGCATCAGCAAAACATGTATTTCTGTAGCTGACAATATCATCTCTGGTCTTTTTGAGCAGATCTACAGCCACGCTGAGCTGTATCGTACTCGACTGCATTAGTTTGCTCACGTGCTGAATTTTGCTGAGTATATCCTACCACACAACTGAACAAATGACAAAACGGTATGACCCTACTTCCTCTGCCAACGATTAAGCCTCAACTTTGACGACAGGGTCAGTTGCAGATTCTCTGTGCTCCAAAAGCGCTTCTTTGATTTGCGCAGGTTGATATCTAATTGCCTCCACACTTTTTACTCGGCTTTCCCATCTGACGTCTGACCACGGTTCCAGATTAATATTAACATGTTTTAAAAGAACTTGCCACCTCTGAGGAGAGACTGAAAACAATGTGAATACTTTCGTTAAATATCCAAAGTAACAAGTTGCATTTAGGGAGCTCTTGGCAGCGTCGCCTAATATCAAATTCAAATTATGGGCACCACAAGGATCAAATAAGGCCCGAGAATTCTGTTGAAGAAGCCTGGCTTGAACTCCTTTGATGTTTCCTCTCATATTTGCTTCATTGTCGTAGGATTGACCTCGATAATCCTCAAAAGAAATGTTCATTTGTTTGTCTTCCGAGTAGAAGTCATGACAAATTTAGCCCTGTAGACTTCTCTCCCGCAAGGAACCCCAAGAAATGCGCCTTTATTGTTGGCTTGTCTTCAAGAAAGTTGCTCTTTGTGACTCAAATCAGGGGTGCAGTCTAAAATTGAGAAGTATTTCGATGCTTTGATATCGTCCATGATTCTCTCAGTAATCTTTGCACTGATAATGTTAATCAGTTCATTTTGGATCATTTGGACAAGGTAGTGAGTGTGACTGTGATTGCCTGCATTACTTTCAACCCTACTTAAATGATTCTCCATAACGATCAAATTTAACCAAAAGTTCCACTTCTTGGAGAAAAATACCATTGGATTGACAGTTAAGTTTTTCGGTTGACCCTCTAGAGCCAAATTGCTTTCAGCTAGAGACTGAATAATCGCCATTAGTCTAGTGAGGACTTGGCGCCACCCGTTCCACTCAGCCATTAACATTTCCATTTCCCGTCTGTCTATCGTCCTTCCTCTTGCAATGTTGACCTCCAGTTCCTTCTATGTTGTCATGTTTTTAGTGTGTTCTATGCTACTTTCATGTGTGCTGAGCAAATGACTAGCATTTTTTCAATCATTGATGCCTTCTTCAGCCATTCTAACATGTTTTGTAGAAAACATTTTACAACAGAAGCAAAAAAGTTTATCCTGTTTCACCAAATACATTAGCCAACTTCTTTGGATCTTCTCTCCATTTACTAAGATTCGGCGAAAGTAATCATGTTGACATCTTCTCCCATCCTTTTTTGGAAACACATATTTAAGATCAACTTGTAAGGTCCTCTGCGAACAAGTTCTGCCTGGTTGGACATTGAGGATGGCCAGTCGGTACGGTCAACAAGTGCAACCTTAATCTACGACTCTCAATATGGGTTTACAAAGGGAAAATCTTGTCTAACAAATCTGCTAACGTTTTTTAGGAAAGTCTTCGAGGTAGTAGATAATGACGAAAATTACGATGTTATTTACTTAGACTTTAGCAAAGCATTTGACAGAGCACCGCATCAGAGGCTTCTGAGAAAAATTAAGGCTCATGGTATCGAGGGGAAAGTTTTAAATTGGATAAAATCATGGCTCACCGATAGAACTCAGAGGGTCAGCGTAGATGGTGTTAAATCTGAGTGGGGCCGTGTAACCAGTGGGGTTCCCCAGGGGTCAGTACTAGGCCCACTCTTGTTCATAATCTACATAAACGATCTAGATACTGGGATCAGCATTGACATAAGCAAGTTTGCGGATGACACCATAATAGGGCGGCAAATTAATTCAGGGCAGGATGCAAATGCATTACAGAAGGATCTAAATATACTGCAGGGGTGGTCTGAAAAATGGCAAATGAAATTTAACACCAGCAAGTGCAGCGTACTTAATATTGGAAGAACATATACTTATAATGTATACAGCCTTAACATCAACCTAGAGAAGTCGACTTGTGAAAGAGACCTAGGGGTACCTGTAAGCCCGGACCTACGGCCTAGAAAACAGTGCGCTAATGTTCGAAATAAGGCAAACAGAGTATTGGGTTTTATATCTAGAAGTGTAAGTAACAAGAGTGCAGAGGTCTTATTGCAACTATATCTTGCGCTAGTCAGACCGCACTTCGATTATGCGGTTCAGTTCTGGTGCCCCTATTATAGAATGGATATAAATTCACTTGAGTCAGTGCAGCGAAGAATGACATAAATGATTCCGGGACTTGGAAACCTTCCATATCAGGATAGGTTAAAGAAACTTAACTTGCATTCCCTAGAAAGACGAAGAGTGCGGGGAGATATGATAGAAGTATTTAAGTAGGTGAAAGGAATCAATAAAGGGGATATAGATAAAGTTCTTATAATATCCGAGCAGGATAGGACTCGGAGCAACGGATTCAAGTTGGATAAGTTTAGGTTTAGGAGGGATATAGGAAGAAACTGGTTCACAAATAGGGTGGTGCGGGAACTCTGGAAAGTTTCAAAAGGAGGCTAGATAGATTCATGGATGATAGTGGTAGTAACTCTCGACAGGAGCTGCCATGCACAGGCCAACCAGCCTATTGCAGACTCCTTATGTTCTTCGGTGCAGCCCTGGATGCAGCACATTCGAGCTGTGGTGGTGACACTGTTGGCTGTGAAGAATGGAGCTGTGGTGGTGACACTGTATCTGTTGGCTGTGAAGAATGGAGCTGTGGTGGTGACACTGTATCTGTTGGCTGTGCAGAATGGAGCTGTGGTGGTGACACTGTATCTATTGGCTGTGAAGAATGGAGCTGTGGTGGTGACACTGTATCTGTTGGCTGTGAAGAATGGAGCTGTGGTGGTGACACTATCTGTTGGCACCCTTAGCATCTTTAGCGCCCTTAGCATTTGCTAACCTCGCGTAATGGAAGCGGCGGCCCTGGTTCCTGCCTCTCCAGTCATTGTTCCTGCCGTGTCACATTCTAATTGTATGATAACCGATTACCACTTCATAATGACCAAAATTCAGATAACCTATAGTGAATGATATTCTATTTTATTGTTATATGTGAATTATTTGTGTATGGGAAATTATATTTTGTATTAATGATTTAGTGTGTGCACCATATTGTGAAACCAATAACCGAAAGTATGTTATTTAAAGAATGTGTAACTACTACAGTATACATGTTTTCTGAATGTTACCGCATAATATGAATCTTGGGGAAGGGGTGTCATGGTCATAATGACATGGCTAGTCTGTCAAAACCTAATAATTCATATTACTCTCCACACCCACAAAACCTGTAAACCTTTTTGAGTCTCCCAGTTGAAACATTCGTCTCTAACCACTTCAGGAGATAGTCTTCCGTTATCTATGTCGCATTACCATAGAAACTCAAGTACTGTATACCTAAATTCCGGACAGGATGTTCATGCATTTGAATTGGTAAGAGAATACTCTTGCTTTGCGTCAACTTAGAGATGTCTGATTGCAGTTGAAGCATTCAAGATCCGTTGTGACTGATGTTGAAAGCTTCAATTGTATTTACTGTTAGTGTAATTGTCAATATAAGTCAGGGTAGAGTCGGCAGCGAGAGTGAGGTATCATTGGCGTCGGCCCTAGAGATGTTGACCGAGGCTGAAGTCACCCTCTTTTTACATATGAAAATCAGAGAATCTGATGTTCATGGTGTAATTGTTGTAAGGAAGTTAATTATGAAATTAATTAACCTGAAGGGAACTGTCAGACCAAGTATCTTTCAGAATCTACTGGGTGTAATCGACAGCTCAGGCAGAGCTGTTGGGCGAGTGGAACTCGAAGCTGATCGAGGGAGGAGTAGTGCGGGGCACGGACGCTCTCAGGCATCAGTCCAGCGTCTGAAACTCCTCCGCGCACAGGTAATGTCCAGCTCCGTGTTATAGTTTGAATATGCAAGTGATACAGTAACGTAACTGACGTGTATTAAGTGAAGTAATCTCACGACATTAGCGTCCTTTTGAAACGTTGACGTTCATGTCGACAAACTCGGCCCAGTGTCTGAAACTCCTCCACCCACAGGTTCATCTTGGCCAAGAGCCTTGTAGATTGGGACGACCTCCACACTAATTTGGGAGATGGATGAAGGCCAGTGAACTCGGGTAAATTCGTGAACACGAGCGTCAGGAACTAACCACCTCCTCTGGGATCCAGTCAACTGGTCAGCCGTTCAATGTCCAGTTTGTTGATATCACAGGCAGAGCAAACAGTGCCAGCCCCCTTCATTGTTATGGGTGAGTCCACTACTCAGTAGGGGTATATGGTGGCTGTGTTATTCCTCTGAATACACCTGTATGTATTCACCTGAATTGTCTGAGTGTTTGGAGTCAGCAAGAGTAGGTTGACCATCAGTTTGTGTGTGGGCAAAGGTACCATAGTGGTGAAGAGAAGCTACTAATTCTGGTGATGTTAAAGTATTAGTGTTGGTGCTGTAACTGGCATCATTGCCACTTGTAATAGTGCTCAAAGGTGCTATGTAAGAGTATTGTGTGTGTTCTTGTACATGTAAGTGGAAAATGTACCCAAGTTTAACAGTACCAAATAAGTAAAACCAGGGAGTTGACCCCCATCATTCTCTCCCATTGCTTGATATCAGAATTACAGTGTACCCATGTCATAACCCCCGAGCCTCAATACCAAAGATCAGAGGTTATGGAGTAATTATATGAAATGAAATAACTAGACAAAACTAATGGAGAAAATAAATGAAGTAAGAAATTAAGAGGAAACCAGGTTGAGTTTAAAAGTTATCTTATAAATGGTTTCAGCGACTGGATTGTAATTTAAAATGGTACCCAGTTGGGAGGAAGGAATGAGCTAATGTAGGTGTTTTTAACTGTGATTTGTAATAACCATTTCTCTGTGCTGGTATCTAATAAACATTTAACGGTAACTGAGTATTTCAGATTGCTAATAATTTTGTTCCATATTCTTCCAAGGTACAGTACATTGCACAGTATATGTAATTCTGTACTAATTAATTAG